TCATCAATCTCCTTATACAGAAGTTTTTACACAACATGGAGCAGCTAAATACCCAGCTTGTATAACTTTTTGGCAGTCACACTCATCAACTGTAATACAGTTTTACTTATAGGGATAAAAGTGATTGTTAGAAGGAATAAAAACTTTATAATTACATCGCAGTCCATTATCCAACTTACGCAAGCAGGAATATCAAACAAAGAGGCACAGTAACAGAGATGTGTACATGCTCTTCATTCAAGAATGGGTTAGAACCTGCATCAGTAATGCAAGCACTGAAATTACTTTTCTTTACCTAAGAGTTTGAATTTTCTTTTAAAAAGGAGGTTTTCATCTTTGAGTAACATCTATTCTCTAAATAAAATTCTTATTCTCTCTAAATAAGTGCCTGCAGAGACTAAATGGTTTTGGGATCTTTCAAAGGTCAGAGACCTAAGAGCAATATACAGGAAGTAAAAAGATAAACACGCTGTTCCTCCTCTCCCCTTCCCAGGTACCTAATCCTATTGCTTCTATCATACTGATGCTACCTCCAAAGAGAAAGTTCAAAAAGCATGCTAACATTATAAGGAAAAGTATCTTAAGTAAAAATTTCATAGGAAACAAAAGAGGACATCCCCCCACCCCCGCCACCAAAAAAAAAAAAAAAAAAAAAAAGAACCCACACAGGCTATACTAAGGTGAATGTGTGAAAGAAATGGGTAGGATATATAAAACTGTCTAGTTCCGATATATGTTTAGAAAATTATTCTCATTCATTATTCATGTTAACAGCGAGTAACATTTAACATAATTAAAGACTTAGAAATGCTACTTATTAAGGAATGCATTTTCAGTCATTTTAAATTTGGCACCAAATCTTAGAATATCCAAACATGACTTTGCCTAAAAGTCACATTATTCCTGAGTCATGAACTCAAGCTCTGTATGGACTGGGATGTTGCTGCTCCCAATGAGCAGCTCTTTGCGAACCCTTACCTCATATTCAGTTTTAGACCAACTCAACTAAGAAGTCTTCAAGGCAGAGCTGGGTACGTATGGCAACAGATTATTTAAAGGAGAGGGAACAGAGATGGAGAGAAACAAGTGGGACACAAACAAGTGTCAGGTTCTTCTAATAAGCATTTCCAGACAGGCCCAAGAGTGACTTGTAGTTAATAAAGGCCACAGTAGAGACTTAAAAAGCTGATACACAAATCATAAAAACAAATGTTCACACCTACTAATGCCAATTTTTCTAAGTTACCATAAAGCAACCTAAAAGAATTGTTGCCCAGCCAGCAGGCAACAGAAACATAAGACTAGGAACCATAAAATAAAACAAGTAATTTATTGACCAGTACAATCTAGGCAGGGGAATAAACTCTAAGCAGCTACAAAACTGAAAACATATTAAGTATTCAACCCAGAAAAGATGGTATGAAAGGACTCTCTCAAAAACTAATGCTCAAACCTAACCTCATGTCAATAATAGACTAGAGCAATATGGTAGAAGAAAATTCAAGCTCATAAACACACCAGTTTAATTATGTTTAATTAGCCCATGATTACTGAGTTAAAAACGATGAATGATATTAGCCCTTAACACTTTATAAAGATGTTTTGACACATTTTAAGGTTGAGAGAAATTAGTATACTTTTTTTATGCTGCCATCACTTAAAAAGGCAGTCACTTATTAAAAGCACCAATTTAAATATGCTCTTTTTATTCCTCTTTTCCCAGCAATAAATGTCTAAATTAAAAGCAAGAAAAGTTTACTACTTTTGTAGTAGGTTAGGATATCTTGCTGGCATGAGGAACAAACCCTAACCCTAAATGGTATTTAGGCTGCCAGAACAAGGTAGAGTTTCTTATAAAAATAACCTCGACTTGATGTAAAAAAATCTAAGGCAGAAATTATCTGTATAATGTAGTGTAAAATATAAGCTTATTATTCAACAATTAATAGTGTTCACTAAAAACCAACATTCAATTAAAGTGAGGAAAAGTGAGTACCTAACTTGTGGTTGGTCAGTATGACTGTTCCCAGAGTATTTTCCTCTGCTCTTACTTTAATACACATAAACACAAACATTTAATACTTAATCTCAGTATTCAGACTAACAATTTTTAAAAATCCATCATCCCAGGACTTCAACTGTGCTTCTTTGGACAAATATATCTTTAAACTACAAAGAATTTAAATTCTTTTTAGCTATTCAATACCTATTAAAAATCTTTGGTGCATTTAAGTCAGAACCAAGTAAGTTAATAAATTTCTGCACTCAATAACTTAGTCAATTTACAGATTAAGTGAGAACTGCTATGAAAAATTAATTTAAAACAATAAATTATACTCACAAAATAAAATATTCACAATGAGACTAGCCTTAGTCATGAGATTCAAATTTTTAAACAAAGTTACAAAATAAATGATTTTAGAGTTACAGAAAGGTCAACTAAAATGAGTAGGCCTCATTTTATGATTTTTGTGGCAGCTTCAAAAGTTAATATACATTCAGTTTACCTAAATTCATGTTCTGATAGTTTTGAAAACTAGAGGGGGCAGGTTGATTTTCATGTTACTATACTTCTGTTTACCCATTTCTTCGTAAGTATTATAGTGCCTACCTTGCAGACTATGCTGGGCTTGAGAGAACATGGTGCCTAGCACACAGTAGCATTCATTAATGCTACATTGGTCCTTCTTCCCTGCAACAGTTCTGCTACATGAGCTTAACGGAGTCCCTTCACTTTAGCCTCAGACACTTTCTTTGTACAGCAGAAATGTATCATGCCCCATCTATTTCAGAACAGGTTATGAGGTTCCAATCAGACAGTGTGGAAATATTTTAGAAACCAGTAAACCACTATTCAGGTCTATCTATAATAATAACTAAATACAATTGTATTTCACTTTACATAAGAGCTATATGCTTGAAAAATTCTATATAAATCAACTTCTAAAATTAAATCATATAAAGTGTTAAGAGCATCGTTACTGAAAGAACCTTAGACACCTTCAAAAAAGCAAAGTATTCTTTTCAATGTGAAAATGGAGTATCCTTTTTCTGCCACCAAATATACCACATACATACCACATATACCATTTGCCTTCTTTAAGTCCAAGTTTTCTACATTATTTCTATGGCAGAGTATATTTTTAGGTGTGATTTGTTTTCATTTCAGTATGATATTTAGTTAAAGTCTTATCTGCCTTTATGATAAAAATCATAAAGATATATTTTTAACAGATGTGATAGTACCTCATACAGTCAAGGCTTAATCATTAAGTACCCCAATATAACATTTCCACACCAAGCAAGTAAGAATTCTTCTAAAATAAGAAATAGTAGAAAATTATGTCTACTGGTCCTAAGATAATTACATCCAAACTTTGATAAGTGAGGCAAAACTCAGGTTGGCTTTATTATTGATATCACTACTTTGGTTAACTGCCTCAATTCTCAACATGTTCTTTGATAACTAATATGGCAAATGTTCCTATAAAGTACCTTTATTTTTTAAGTGCTTCAAATAGTTTCCTCCTTAATGATTAAATTTCATTCACTAAAAGTTCATTCTTTTTTTGTGATATTTTTCCCCCACAAGGGCCAGGCCAGACTTTATAGTTTACACACAAAAAAGTGCTTAAAGCAATTAGGAGTGTAAACAAAATCAAAATAGAAAAAAATTTAAATTGCTATCTTTCCAGTAGTTTACATACAACTGCATGCTGATAATAAATCAGCCCTGCCTAGTCTATCCCTCAAGCAACCCCACTAGGAAAACCTCATTCTAGGTTAAGTTTCAATTAAGTTAAAAAAAATGCAAAGTGCACATCTTTAAAGGTATTTTATAATTTTGGCAGACTTTCTCTTCAATTAATTTAATCACTGAGGTTTTCTTGTAATTGATATTTTCTTTCACAAAGCCCTTAACTAGTGTCTCATTCAAAAATAAGAATCAAAGATAATTAGACATGAGGCTCATATAAAAGTAAAAGTAAAGATCGATTGAAGCCAGGCATGGTATCACATGCCTTTAATCCCAGCACTCAGGAGGTAGCCTGGTCTACAAAGTGAGTTCCAGGCCAGCTGGGGCTATAGGGAAACCCTGTCTCAAAAGTATTAAAAAAACAAACAAACAAACAAAAAAACCCTAGATTGAATGTAAATCTGTATACACATAGTAGTTCCATTCAAGTGAAAAATAAACTAGGTACAAATTTGAGAATGCATTTGGAATTTTTTCTAATGATTATACATGAAATATCTACATTCTGTTTCCCAGTTTCAGTCAGTCAGATGAAACTCAAAGTATACCGTTTAAGTGTCGTTAGCTTAGTTTTAACTGTCCCCTCTTTACAGATATGTAGATGCTGTAGCATAATGTGAAGTAAAATATGAAATAAAATGGTGCACATATCTTGAAGATATCTAGTTAAAATTGTCATATTTTTCTTTTAAGATATAATCAACTTGGTAATTTCATGTGTAGATCTATGTTTGCATTTGTTATTCATCATTGAGTAGAGATAAGACCCAATGACCTAGATTAAAATAACAATCCTTCATTTCATTTAACATGTTAAACTCATATTCATTGTCAAAAGCCCAAAGTATAACGACAAAAATAATGGATAAATAATAATATAGAATTATCCAAAACTTTCTTACATTAATATGTTTGTAAAATCTGGATAAAATAATGAAGTTTAAATTAATGTAAGAAACAGCTGCAATTATTAACATGCTCTTACATTCTTTCTTATAGGCTATGTGATTCCTAAACTCAATTTCAAAGTGAGAAAAGGAGAAAAGAGGCCACTAAGGAAGAAAGACTGGGCTTGGGGGCTCATGCCTGAAATCCCAGAACTTGGTTAGCTAAGGCAGGAGAACTGCCACAAATTTGGGGCCACTCTGGGCTACAGACTGAAATCCTGTCTAAAAAAAAGAAAAAATAAATTCCACTGGTGATTTTAAAAATACCACCATGCTTCATGTCAGCAGCTAACAATCTTGAAAAGTTTGAAAACCCATCAAAAATTAGCATTTGGGTCTTTAAAAAAAATTCACAAAAATTATACTTCAAATATTATGTCAAAATGTGTCCAGATATTCAGTCAATAGAAACATATACTTTCTTGATTTGAAGCTTTTCTGAGAACTTGAGATAGAGAAAATGAAAACCTGAAGCTCCACTAATTTGGAAACCAGTAGCTTTTGGCTATCATTAGCACATAACCATCAAAAGGCCTATGGAATGTTCACTCATGAATGATGCTCGCTAGTGGACATATTTTGAACAGCAGTAGTGTTATCAAGGCCTAGTAATGTTCCAAGATAAGACTGTTCTCTAGGATCTAGCATTTGTTCAGGTCGAACAGGGTGAACTATATTTGCAGGCTGAGGAGTAAGAGTGTATTTTTCCAGAAAAGCTAAATCCGCTGCCCGTGGATAATCAGTGGATTGTGGCTGTGGTGGCAGGATCTCATGGGAAGATGGTGGAAGTGTGGTAGTATGATGCACCAGCTCATTGGGCGTGTCTGGCATCTGAACTGGAACCAATGTTACTGGAACACATACTTCGGCAGACACATTCTGTAACACAGTTTTGGCTTCTGAAGGATAAACTTTGGGCTGATCCAGATATTGTTTTGTTTCTGCTTGAAAGATTTTATCATCAGATGAGTACTCTACTGGCAAAGACACAAGTTTTTCCTCAGAAGTACTGAGAGAGTCGTCAGGAGATTTTATCCCATGAACATGGTCAATGTGGTATTTCAGCTTGTCTTTCCGCTTAAATGTTGCATTACAGTGCTGACAGTTGAAAGGCCGAGCATCAGAGTGAATAACCAGGTGTTTTGTTAAAGTTTTCTTAATTCTAAAAGACTGATTGCAAATTTGACACTTGTATGGTTTTTCACCTGTATGAACAAAAATAAAATTAATGTTAAATATTACCCACTTGATAAGATGGTAATTAAGTAGCATATTTTCCATAGGCTTATCAATACAAACGTAAGAGCTTGAGTGTGGGGGTGCATGCCTTTAATCCCAGCACTCTGAAGACAGAGGCAGGCAAAGTTCTGAGAGATCAAGGCCAGCCTGGTCTCCACAGTAAGTTCCAGGCGAATTGGGGCTACGAGGAGACCCTGACTCAATAAAGACAAAAGACAAAAACAAGAACAGTAATATTGTATGCCATCACAAATGAAGATAGCACAGTACAAACAAACAAAACAAAAGCAAACAGACAAAAAACCAAAAGAGATAGAGAATGAGTTAAACATCAAAACAATCTAGGCTTAAATTCTGGATAAACTACTTACTACCCAAACATTAAACAGCTACCCAATTTTTAAGCCTGGTTTCCCCACCAGTAACATGAAATAACAATAGCACTACTACTGTACCCAGGCATGATAACTGCTTAACTATAACCTTGGCTATTACTATTACTTTACTACCACTAAAACCCCCAAAATGTTTGTTAAGCTGAAACATGTGAATTCCTTTCATCTAAGAAAAATAAAATCGAAACACCAACTCTGATTAACTTTGTTCTTTGGATCAGAACAAAATGCAGTTAACAGTTATCTCTAGACAGACACCAACATCTAAAAAAACTCATCAGAAAAAAAGAATAAGGAAGTTAAATCAATTTTCAGTTCCTCTGCAGTTAGGTTCTCACAATGTAGCTTTATTTTGATTTTTACATAAAACATTAAAAATTCCTAGAACAGCCAAAGTGCTAGAAAGAATAATATCCCCTAAAAGACACCCATTCTTGTCTAAAGACCTTTTAAATTTATTTTTATATGTGTGTGTATGTGTGCCTGAGGTAGTTTATGTACAGCATGTGACTCCAGTTACCAATGGAGGCTAGAGAGCATTGGATCTCTTGGAACTGTAGTTATATGCAGTTATGAGTTGCTGTGTGAGTGCTGAGAACTGAGCCCAGGTCCTCTCTAAGACCAGCAAGTATTCTTAATTGCTGAGTCATTTCTCCAGCCCCTAAAATACATGTGATGTTCTAATCCACAGAAGCTATGAATATGTTACCTTACACAGTAAAACTTTGCAGTGTGTTTAAAGTTAAGGCTCTGAAATGGGTGGATTAATTGGATTATTGAAGTGGCCAACTATAATTGCAACTGTCTTTAAACTTTTTTATTATTTATGTGTATGAGTGTTTTGCCTGTACATATGTAAGTGCACCATGTGTGTGCAATGCCCACTGAGGACAGAAGAGGGTGTCAGATCCCCTGGAACTCGAGTTACAGATGATTGTTAGCCACCATGTGGATGCTCACAACTGAACCCGGGTCCTCTCCCAAGAGCAGCTAGTGCTCTTAACTACTGAGCCATCTCTCCAGTCCCTACAGGTCTTTAAAGAAGATGATAACTAAAGGATAGGTCAGATGTGATAGGAGAACTCACTCTAAATTTGAAAACAGAAGGGAGCCAGAAATCAAGAAAGAGGCTACCAAAATCTATGAAAGAATCTCAGCCTACCAGTAGCAAGGAAACTAGAATGTTGGTCCTGTTTTTGTAACTCAGTCTTGAAATCTACCCCATGGGTAAAAAGCAGGAGTCTTCTTTTAGAGAACCCTCCCCTCCAAGAAATACAGCTTCACTGACACCTATATTTACTTATTCTGACCTAACAAACTGCAGAATCATAAACCTGTATCATTTAGGCTGCTAAGTTTACAGTAATTTATAACATCAGAAGATGGTAATATTGCTACAGATGTAAAGACATATTTGAAAACCAAGTGAGATTACACATTGTTATGTGGGTTCATTAATATCATTATGTTCGCCTCTATTTAAGATATCAATTTTCCTGAAAAAAACAAGAGATTATATCTATAGGCTGCAACACTAGTTTAAAAATATTATTGCTTAGTACTCTGCAGCCCATGGGAACTTTCTTGTTTCTGAGTAACAGTATTACTGATGTCATTAGAGTGGAAGTGAGACATGAAGTAACACAAAACTTACCCTTTCTAGAGGGCTATTATGTAGCCCAGGCTGGCCTCAAACTTGTTACGTAGCTTAGGATGACCTTGAACTCCTATCTCATTCTCCCAAATGCTAGGCTCACAGGTGTGTGCCACCACACCTAACTAGGCAAAGAAAATTTCATCAAAAAAACAGAATCTTCCTTCTGATGAAAGAAGGAAACTCTAGAAAAGGTAAATTAACTAAATGGCCTGAAAAATTAATAGATTGATTTAATAGCAAATTAGACGCCACAGAAGTGATCAATAAAAAAGAAGTTAAATCACCTAGGTAGAAAGTGTCTAGTTAGCAACACATAGAAAAATAGAATGAAAAATACAGAAAAGAGCAAGACAGATATAAAACAAGTAGAAAGGTCTAACACACATACACAGTGAGAGTCCTAAATAGACGAGAGAGTATAAAACCAAAGTTTTGTCAGCAGAGAGCACAGCCGAGAATCTTCATGAACAGAAGACAACCAAGCTGCAGCTGTAGTAAGGTCTACAACCTTGACAAAACACACACACACACACACACACACACACACACACACACACACACACACACAAACATAACAAGTCACAACATAATAAAACTACTGAAATCCAAAGATAAAGAAAAATTTGGAAAAGCAAAGGAGATGTTTCCTTCAAATGAACAAAAAGAACACAGACAACAAACTTTAAAAAAAAGAAAGAAAAACTTTAAAAGGAAAAGTAGAATATTTTAAATGCTGTGAGAAAATAACTGTTAAGCTGGGTGTGATGGCTCATAGCTATGATTCTAGTATTTGGGAGCCTGATAAGGCAGATCATCAGTTGGGAGCCAGCCTTGATTATATAATGACATCTTGCCTCAAAAAGAAAAAAGATAACTACTAGTACAAATTCATCCTTAAGGAGAGTGCCTAGATCCAGCCTCTTTGTGGTATCAGAACCTTGCCACAATGGGAGGAAGATCATCCCACACTTACCACCCCCTCCAAGGCCCAGGGACTTTTTTCAGAAGAGGTTGGTGGAAAGAATGTAAGAGCTGGAGGAAGGTGTACAGTGTTACCTGGAAGTGTCCTCCTACCACTATACTGGCAAGTTATAGTCACACCTCCCCTTCCCACCAAGTCAGTTGACCTTATAAATCATATTTATTATTGCCCACAGGATATTTTATGCGTAATGCATGCGATGAATTACGTGCAGCAATAAATTTTTAAAAACTAAATATAAGTTAAAAAAAATAAATTCATAGTTAAAAAATCCTCCAAAAAGTAAAATTAAATCTCTTTCAGATAAATAAAAGTATAGAGAATTCTGTGTTTTTAGGTGAAAGGAAACAATAAGAATAGAAATACAAGGAATGAACAGTAAGGTTAATGTGTAGTTGACCTTCAGCTGGGAGTGTAGCAGCAGCACGGCACTTATTTAGCATGCTCAAAGGCCCTAGGTTCAATTATTAGTGCCGCACGAAGCCTTAGATGCCTTATATACTGTTAAAGCACATATGAAATTAAAATATATATAAATGAAGGTGAGGAAGGCAAGGGTATCATAAAGTATTTGCACTCCCTGGAAAGTGATGATGTTAAATTTGTCATTCCTAAAGAGCAGAACAATGTTAAAGTGCACACAGCTCCTGAGAGGCAAGCAAGCACAGGAGACTTTAGTACCTGAGACCCTATCTGGGTTTGGATTATACATATTCCCGCTCCTGAAATAATGCACTTCTGCATGTACTGTGCACATACACCCCTCTCCAACAACGCACCTAGCAAACTTGGAACCCTCTCCACCCCACAGGTGCACCAGGCTGCATACACTGGCAACCTTGAACAAACTGTGACTACTAAACTTTTAGGGAGAATCTATTTACCATGTTATGCCTATGTATAATTAGGCACACATATGATTAAAATCAGGTGCAATATGGGAAGGGAAATTTGCAGTAGGAACAATGAATGTATAACCTAATCTACCAGCCAAACTACACCCCTTAGTAACTAATTCCTCCTCGTCTTGAACTCCAAAAGGGAAGCCCCTGAACAATAATAAAAAAAGGCCCCTGGGTATCTTCACTCATGTGGCCTGCTGTCAATCTTGACAGCATAACTTTCTTTAATATGTACTATGACTTAGCTCCAAATAAAATTATCTTGCTCCCTTTGCAACTCTGTGTTGCGTTTTTATTTTCAATTCTTTGGATACAAGACCAAGAACCTGGAAACACCCAGCCCAGACCCCGACCAATAGTAACACTCTCAGGGTAACTACTAGAAGAATAATATAAGAGCATAGCATTAGTAAACTAACTGAAGGGGAAAGGGCAATAAGCACTTGATTATAAAGGAAGTGAAGACATAAGAAAGCATCAGAAACAGATGCCAGATATAACATGATGACGGATTTACACATAAAAAATGAGAACTCACATATTATATAAACAAATGAGAGCTCACATATAATTGAACTAAAAATCCTAAGTAAAGACAACATCACTATACTACAAGACAAAGTAAAGCCCCAAATACATTTTTTATTTATTTAATTTAATTTAATTTATTTATTTTGAGACAGGGCCTCACTATGTAGCCCTGGCTGGCCTAGAAATGACTATGTAGACCAGACTAGCCTTGAACTCATAGATATCTGCTTGCCTTGGCCTCCTGGGAATGGTATTAAAAGTGTGGGCCACCATGCCCAGCCTCAAAGACAAATTTTAAGCACAGGTCTTCAGAAAGAGCGGAAGAGGGGGGAAGAATAACAGCAACAATATTGTCCATTAGTGCTGGCTTATCCCATCATAAACACATCATTTTTATAATCATAAACAGAGAAATGAAAACAGAAATATATGAAAGTTAGCCATATCTAAATATACAGCCTCAAAATATATAAATTAAAAAATCAAAAGAAATCAAAAG